TCCGTTTGAGCGATTTCAAAATGACAGACCACACAGAAAACATTAAATAATTTTGAAACTAAATTTATACACAAATAAATGTAGCTGCACCAAGGATTGTGCTTTCAGAAACTTCATATACATTTCTCACACTGAATTAATCTATTTTAAAATTATATGCATTGGTTAGAACATTTATTTCACTGTGAAATAAAGAAGAAGAAAAAAAAGAAAATTAATTTAACTAAAATTCCTTCGGTCACATGCGGCAACAGAAGTTTAACCTATTTTGAAATGTAAATTTGTCAATTTGAGTTTAATTACTCTGTGGATAAAGGGAGTATTTTTTAACCATCATACTTTGAAAGTGTCAGATCTATGGCGTAATGAGTCACGTGACCTACACTGCTGCTTTAAATTGGTCTGAGCTCCATTTAAACATGAAAGCTAAAAAAGCAAAACGTTGTTTGGCATCAAAACCGATATGACAATTAGCTGATCACTTATTTTATTTTTTTATTTTTTATTTTTGGTTCTCTGATGTAGAATTTAACACTGGAAAAACTATCTAGAAATAAGTAAACATTTCTTAAATTAGGTGTATTTACTCTTAATTTGAGTGGGAAAATTAGATAATTTGCCAATGGAATTAGTATTTTTACCCTTAGAATAAGATAATTAGATAATATGCTCTTGAAATAAGACAATGCAATTGTATTTTCTTATTTTAAATGTACATAGTCTTGTTCCATTATCAAAACGTATCTTTAACCTCCCCAATCTAAGAGCAAATGCACTTATTTTAAGAAAAGATGACTTATCTCGATTTTTTCCAGTGAATCTAGAGGGGTGAATGTGGCTTTGTCTTAACTGACTTTTAACTTGTTGGAAAAAAAATGGTCTGCAATCAGACTCCAAAACACGACGGGAGCCTGTTTAGTTGTGTGACTATTCAGTGTTTACATTGTCTTTCAGGGGCACCAAACCTGGTGGTTACAGGTCAAGCACCCCTAAGGGCTAAAAGTTACACACTGATGCCACTCTAATTGATTTACAATTTACAATGAATTAATTTACAAATTCTTGTCTATAGAGGACTTACACACAGGAATGCATAAATCTATGATTAATGTACTTTAAAGCATTTGTGCTTAGGGCACTCAAAAGGTTGCACCGCCCTTGAACTTGCCACAGTTGCTTTTAATTCTTAACCAAGCGTGTTTCATTAACAATATTTTTCATAAGCAGAAGTTATCTTACATCTTGTATTCTTGAATGGCACCATGTTTGTTCTTATTGGCCATTTTGTGTGTTAATAGTCTGAAATAAACATGCATATACATTTTTTCACCTCCTTTCCAGATCCGACCACGTCAGAAATAAAATTTGGGTGGCTGTATTTGGTGTTTTATCCTCTGGGCTGGCAGTTAACTCCTCCTTTGGCTTACTGCTTTACATTGGGGTGCCATTTGTCATAACTGTTGCCAACTCTCCTTTTTTAATATTAGGTAAGAAAAAAATCTAACATTTTAAAATGCAACATAAAATCAGCAGATGCTAATGAAACCATTTTTTTTCTCCTTTCAGGAATTGGTCTGAACAACATGTTTATAATAGTTTCCGACTGGCAGCACACCCATGTAATGGACCCTGTACCGAAGCGGATGGCTCACACTTACAAAGAGGCAGTGATGTCTATCACCATCACCGCCTTAACAGATGTCCTGAAGTTCTCCATCGGCGTCATGTCTGATTTCCCGTCAGTGCAGTCTTTCTGTCTGTACACCGCCATCTCCATCATATTCTGTTATGTCTACACCATCACCTTCTTCGGTGCGTTTGTGGCTTTGAACGGCCGGCGGGAGGCTAGCAACAGGCACTGGCTGACCTGCATGAAAATACCATCAGAGAAATCAATTGACCAGACTCAGATATATGACTTCTGCTGCATGGGAGGCAATTATGATGAGCAGACAGGAGCAGAGAAAAAAACAGTTGTAAGTAATTTCTTCAAGGATTACTACGGACCGTTCTTGATGAAACCATGGGTCAAATGTGTTGTACTTATTATTTATCTGGCGTATTTAGCAACAAGCATCTTTGGATGTTTCCATATTCGGCAGGGAACTGAACTGTATGATCTGGCTGCTGATAAGTCTCATGTTACGAGATTCAACATTAAGGAGAGGCAGTATTTCTATGAATATGGCCCATCCGTCATGGTCATTGTAAAAGATGATATGGCGTACTGGGATAAGAGCAAAAGATCTCAACTTCAGGGATGTCTAGAAGATTTTAAGGAGCTCCACTTTGTTGACAGGGAGTTTTATACATCCTGGCTTGACTCTTACATATCCTACAGTCAAGAAAAAAACCTAAACATTGACGATAAGAATGTTTTTCTCTCAAATCTGCCTCCTTTTTTTGAACGTTATCCTTTTTTTAAGCAAGATTTGAACCTAAGCGGGGATGCTGTCCATGCATCCCGGTTTTTCATACAGATTGTTAATACCACTAATGCCAGTGAGGAAATTGAAATGCTGAAAGTCCTTAAATCTGTTGCAGGCAGATGCAAGGTAGCTTCATTATTGTTCTACCACCATGAGTTTATTTACTTTGATCAGTACGACGTTGTGGTGAAGAGCACCATTAAAAACGTCTTAGTTATTACCGCCGTGATGTTCGTTGTCTCTCTCCTGCTGATTCCCCACCCGGTTTGCTCCTTGATGGTCACTTGTTCGATTGGTTCGGTGACTGCTGGAGTCAATGGTTTCATGGCTCTTTGGGACATCAGTCTGGACTCCATTTCAATGATCATTTTCACTGTCTGCATAGGCTTCACTGTGGACTTCTCTGCTCATGTGTCCTATGCATTTGTCTCAAGTGAGAAGCCCCACCCAAACAACAAGGCAATAGACGCTCTGTCCAATCTGGGTTACCCCATCATTCAAGGTGCCTTATCCACCATATTAGGGGTGTCAGTGTTAGCCATGTCAGAATTCTACACCTTTAGGACCTTTTTCAGGATTTTTCTCCTGGTCATGTTGATTGGGATGGTCCATGGTCTCGTTTTCATGCCAGTCTTCCTGACAGCCTCTGGATGCGGCACAGATAAAAAGAAAAGTCGAGATAAGGAATTGAAAACTACAAAACTTTGACATTTGCAGGAATACTTGAACATTTTAGGCACACCTTCTTTCTACTTTTATGTATTAAAATGTATAAAAAAAACAATGTTTCTAATAAACGTTTATTGTGTAAAACATATATACTACATATTTGAAGTTATTTTTATGTATTAACTCTTTTCCACTGAAAGCCCTGCGATTTAAAGCTGCAAGATTTGTATTGTCAAGGTAACAGAAAGTCTGGGTTACTTTTTCCTATTACCGGTACTCTGTCTGCCCTGTTAAAATCAACCTGAGAAAAACTATACTACATATTTAGTCCTTCGTTTGTGGTTATACGAGCATTAAAGGTGTTCTTGCTTTACTTCCAGTGCTGACTAACTATAAGTAAATCCCTAAGCTTAAAAACTTTAAAATTTTGTATTTTATCAACTCACATTTGGCCAGAACTGATTTTTTTACTGTATGATTGAAAATAACCACTTATTCTCTTTTGTAATAACTAGGTAAATTTAAAAAATCTGTAGCACAAACATTAAATGTTTTTAGTCAAAAGGTTTGTTTTTTAAGTTCAAGTCCAATGTCTACATAAGCATATATATTCCTATCAACTAAAAGCTCTAAACAGTGAATTTGATGATAGGACCCCCACAAGCCAACAGAGAGCATCCAACTGGAGATCTCTCTTGCAGCCCTGTCAGCATAGAACAGTGACAACAAAGAAATATAAATGAGTGTTTCTAAATGTGTACTTGGTTACACTTTCCTATATTTGGCTTATAGTATCTTTTTAATTTTTACTGTGGCAAAACAGTGTAGAATTAATACCTGCATTAACCTACAATTTCAAAACATTGCAAAACAAAGTAAAACCTTAGCAAACTGAATCCACTTAGGTAAAAGTATATGGAAATCTACCTGGGCTTTCAAAAGCAACTGGCTTTTGTGTGGCAATGGGGAAGGGGTTTACTGATAATCAATTTCCACTGCTCTAAATATTTTAATACTATTTCATTTATTTGTGTCAGTCAGTGTTTCTAAGGTATATTTATATTAAATATAAATAAAATATTTATTTTACACATACAGTACATCCATATTGCATGTATGCTTAACCAAGGGGGTGATTGTTGGATGCACCTAATATCAGGTCATTACAAGTGCTTCCAACAGACAATAATAACCAAATGTAAACCTACTGAATTTCAAGCCTTTAATATCAGATGAAGGCTGAGTACATAGAAAAATACTGTACCGTTGCTACATGCTTTATAAAGAAAACAAATAAATAATTATAATATGAATCCAGCTACCCTTTTAGTGTTTGTTAACTAGCTCTAACCTTTTATACACTTGTTTTTAATTTCTAAAAGAATTTCAACTTACCCTTTGTCAAGGGGATCATCAAGAAATACGTATGTCGGGGTCCTTATATTCTTTTCGTGAAGCTATGTTTTAACCCAGAATCTTTACCATGGATCCAATTTTGCCCAGTCTGTTGTTGTTCAGTCATGGACACTGACTTGAACTGAGAGATGTGAGGCCATCTGTACTAAAATGTCAGTTAGGTTGTTTCTAAATTGAAAAACAGTAGAAGAAAATGTGATTAATTTGTTGAGGAATGCAGCAACATTATGCAGTACTACTGTCCTGAAGCAAACAGAAAGACAACATCGTCATCCTACCTGTAGTTAGCTAAAAGCTGCTGAATTTGAAATATTGATTCAGGATATAGTAAATACCGTAACTATTATAGTAGTGGATTATAAACAGTACAAAAGTAGCCTGCGATGCGACTTGATAGTAATTGGCAAAACAACAGCCAAAAAGAAATCTGTTGGTGCTGACTTGCAAAACATGTCCTCCTTTGACACAGCTCACAGGTCAGGTCCAAACTCTGTCATCCCCCGTCATGCCTGTCTTCTCTCACCTCTGGAAGAAATGCTTTTGGTCCAGACAACACGATGTGACAGGCCCAAACACCCCGGAGGAAAAAGGCAAGATAGATAAAATATACGTAAGAGCTGAAACTTGGCAGCAGATATAAGGCTGATAAAGTGCAGAATCTTCTTTATTCAGCTTTTTAATAATTTATTCATAATTAATAATTATCACAAAACATTAAAATTATGATTTAGCTTTCTGTCTTGGGAATTAGATTAAAATGGGTTATTTGATTTTAACAAATGTAATTGACGGGCAACTTCATCAAGAATTGCAACCCAAATTTGAATGCATGTTACTTAGCTTACATTAGCAGCACTATTAATTAGCTCAGATGTTCTTCTTTTTACTATACTTGTACTAAATGGCTGTGATGGACTTGCATCCTGTCCATGGCGTACCCCACCTATAAAGGTACAAGCCTCAAGTGACTCTGACTGATGAAGTAGGAGAAGTTGAATGGAAGTACTTAATGGCCAAACTATAAAATAGACCTGATAAGTAGTTGCTCACTTTTCACATTAATGAAGAAAATGGCCTGGGTGCACAGAGTTGAGGCTCCCAAAGGATGTACTTTAGATTACTTATTACTGGTGGACCATGCTCATAGAGCTCTGCGAAGGCACAAAACACAGAGCTGCATTTAACAGAGCTAGGGCATCGTTTCAGAGCCCCTATAAACTAATACTGACCTTCAGAGGAAAATCTGTTTATTTGCACTAACCTAAAAAACAGTTCTCAGGCACAATTCTGTTTTTGAACAGTTTAAGTGTTATTTTTATGCTTGGATTACATGTTTTTGTGGTAAGAGAAGAGATGTTAGGGTGTGTTTGTTATGAAATTGTTTTTGCTTTTAGTTTTGTTCTTTTTAAAGCTTTTTTCCTAAGATTGGCTCTTGCACATTTTTATTAGTATAGGTGAGACATCAAGGTTTTGTTTGTAAGTGTAGTTAAAGCTTGATATGATATAAAGTTGAGTCTTACACACTTATGGGAGTTTCTATGGCCTTATATACTTACGAAGGATATGACACTTACCCAGTAACCCATTAAAACCCACCTTAAAATGGATAAATGTGTGAAAAATGGATGCAGTTGAACAGGTTGAGCCTATCTTGCCACTAGTGCAAATAGAGCCAGAGGAGTGGTCATACTATTCAAGAAGGGCATGCCTTTTGCCCATAAATCATACATATCAGACAGGGAGGTTTGATATACAAGTAAGGTAATTGCATTTTATGCCTGTTACACTTGTTGACATAGACTTACCTTTATACTACAATCGTGTTATGACTGAAGTCCCTGACATTTCCTGACCTAAATAACTGTTTAGATAGATCTAATCTTTGACCAGTCACCTCATAGTTTATAGTTCCATTATTGTTAACAAATTCATAAGCCCTGTGAATTTAAATCTGCTTTTACCCCTGACCAGCAGAAACCAAGTGGAGAATTTTTTCAAAAAAGCCAAATTTGCAAAACTGGAAAGAAAATTATTTTGTATTCAAGGTGTATTCAAGGTAAAATATTTTTTAAAACAAAAACAGACAGAACAGAAGTGCACAATTGTGGTACTGTGACCGCAGCGACTGCAGGTGCGGGCGCAAGCCATCACTGATTCTGTAGAGGGAAACACAGGTAAGTGACCACGATCATCTAAACAGAAGATTCAATCCTTGAATCCAGTCTGTGTGGGATTATCCAGAGAATAAGGGACATGTTGGAGAGTGGACAGGTAGACAAACGTTGTACCCGGAGGAGTAATGGAGTGGATTGTCACTCGGATTTCAAATGGGAACTTGAACGGATCATGTGTAGGTTTTCCCCTGCTCAGTGTGAACTCAGTCTTTCCTTCCAGGGGGAGAAGGTTCAGGTATCCAGTTATACAAAAGGCTTCCTGCCGAAGAACAAAGACAAAAAGAACATAAGTCTCAGAGAAGCAAAACTCAGTTTGACTCAGCTAAACTCAGCTTGGCTAGAGTACCCCAAACTGGCAAATTCTCTGGCGTCGAGGTAGTGACAGCCCACTGCTCAAATACTCCTCCAGATAATGGTCCAATGAGCCGCAGGTGTGCAGGGAGGCCCAACGAGAAGGAAACACACAAACAGACCACACAAACTGGATTCCTAACACAAATTTACATTTGTGTTGACATGCTGGAAGATATGAGCGACAAAAAATTATAAAACCAGAAAATTATATAAAATGACTAAATGCACATATAGATAAATAAATTGGCATTTAATTGTATCAATGAATAAATTCATATGGAATAAATAAATACATATATAAATGTATAAACCCTTAATTAATAATACATGTATTTGCCATGAAAAAGGCTAATTATTTGGGGGGGGGTTCTTGATTCTCTCTATTTATCTATTTGTTTATGTTCTTCTTTGTGTTTTTATACCTGTATCAACAAATTCATTTATTTGTTCATGCATTTTTTTTCCCTACATTTATTTATTTCTGGATTTATTTCTGTATTTCTACATTTTTGTCTCCCTATCTTAATGAGGTGGGTGGTTTCTAACATTGGTCTTCAGCAAGATTGGTTTATTGGGGGAAATACACAGAAGTAAAGTACCAGTTTCATCATTCTAAACTTTATTTAATCTTTTAGGTGATGATCCGGATCACCATCTAGATCCAGGATTATTTTGAATGATATTGTGAATACTGGTATTAACTTAAGGTAGAAGTCATAAAATGTCAGGGGAAATGACCTACTTTATACATATACATACATATCTAAAGTAGTGGAAAGTAACAAAGTACATTTAATTGATAACTCTATTTAAGTACCTCTTTTTGGGTATCTTTACTTGAGTTATTTTGTGGTGGGGTACATAGAACTTTCACTTCACAACATTTCCAACATTTCTCACTGATGTTATGGGTGCTAATAACTTTTCCGAGGAGTTTCAACAGCAGTCCCCACACTGCAGATATATCAAAATCTTTCCTTAAATGACAGCCAGACCTATTTAAACAGGGAAAGATAAAAAGCTTTCAATAAACCAAACATCCTCTGCCACATATTTGACTAAATAACAATTTAAAAAACAATTTTCATTCATTTC